CCCCAAAACCCCAAAACCCCAAAACCCCTAGAAGGGTTAAGGAAATTGAGAGGGGATATTTTAGGTGATTTTCATGAAGGTTAGACTGTTATCGTGGTTGGAATGTTTGTTGTTGGATATTGGGGACATTGGATAATAGATCTGGCTTATCTGATTGATGGCGAGATTTTTCTTTGAATTTCTATCAAACGATAAGTCCTTCTTTATTTCTACAACAAGGTTATACTTTTGAATGAAATTTGATCTAAAGATAACAAGCAGAGTTAACCAATACCTTTTCAGAAACAAGACCTACCTTCTTGATTTTTGGTTACACGAGGCTCCAGAGTGTTCATTTCTGATAAATTGATTGCATCAACTCCTGATTCTTCTTTCATCACTTTCTTATCTTTAAAAATCCCTAATAATGCTTATTCAAGAGAAACTTACCTTTGATTATTCTTATATCCACATCATCAAGCCTCTTCCTCTTCAACTCCTCAATAACCTTACTAATCTTAAAACCCTCAACCGACTGCTTCCTCACCCTCTCCATCCCAACCATCTGTACATGATTCCTCCCTATTCGTCAATAATCACCCAAAATCTCCCATAACACTACAACCCATCCCACTTAAAAGGCAAGCACATATCCAAAATCTTTCATAAAATTTAACTATTTCATTTAAGCCCTTCGCCACTGGTCGTTCTTAATAATAGCTTACTGGGTTGGCCCTTCTGGACTTCATCAGAGCTGTCAGAGGAAGCACTGTTGATGATGTTTTGTCTTTGGTATTTAATCAGGAATTTTTGTTCCTTGGTTAAGAGCACTTGGGTCAGGATTTTTAGCTGTTTTATAGTTTTGATTAGGGTGATGCAGTCGAGTTCTTGGGTGAGTTTGTGTTTTCCGATGGTGAAGTAGGCGTGTCTTTGGAGATTGGGGGTTTTGAAGATTTTCTGTAGGGGTTTAGGAGGTTTGTTAGGGAAAGTTGGGGTGTGGAGAGGTTGAGAAGGTTTATAAGGGTTTTGGGGTATTCAGAAGTTTAAAAGCTTACCCTTTTGCTCCTTCAAGCAATTCATCAGAGAAAATTTTGAATGATGTGGCAGTAGCCATAAGAAAAAGGTCTTCGAGCTTTCATATTATTTTCTCACTTTTCAAGTAGTTTCTTCTTCTTGAGATTTTCTTGATCTTGCTCTGGAATATCTTGATCCTTACTAGTCTCCCTGATATTATTCCGACTGGATGAGTAAGATTGTGAATCTATTATGCTTGAAGGAAGGTTTCTGGTCGCCACATCTTGACTCTAAATTTTAGATCTTCAAAATACCTCAGATTGGTGCAGATTCGACATATTTCCGAAAGGAGCCTTGGCATTGGAAGTGTCAATTTTATAAATCCTTCCGAGGACTGCTCCTATATAAAGCCTATCTGAGAACACAGAGATAAATATTGAACCTATAGTGAGTAAGGCTCCATAAAATCCACCAGCCAGTCCGAGAAGCTCACCAAAAGAGAAGATTTTACGTTCATATTCATTAGTTGACTTATCCAAACGGAAATATAAGGAGAGGACATCCCCAGAGGAAGATTCAGTTTCAAATCTTTCTGTAGTGTCTATTACTTGATAAAAATCATGTGTGGTTTCAAATCCAAGCTGGAAGTAATCATCCTCGAAGGTTCCGAGGTTATATCGGATAAATAGGTCGCTCTTCTTCCTAATACCTGGTGTCAATTCCCAAAAATTTCCATCATCAATTACTTGTTGAATGGGTTTCTTGTAGTCATCAAAATTGACAATAGAGTTAACCAGAGCCAAATTGAATCTAGATTCCTTCATGATGTTGTTAATATCTGTATCTGATTTACAAGAAGCACTTCCAGTACATTTTTGGATTTTTAATTCCAAGTAATGAAATGATTCAGCGTAGAATGATCCAGCAACTGAATAATCAGAAATAGTAGGTCAGTAGTACTCATCTACTCCGATTCGCTTGACTTCCGCCTGGTTATTGAATTTGAAATTAGTTGTTCCGCATTTCTCTAACGTAATCGGCGTTTTAGTCCTGGTGAAACTAGCATCTTCGCTAGTGCTATTCCATTCTTGTATAACTTGATTAAAATCGATGGTGAAAGCAGTAGGATCTTGCATATAATCAACACCGTTTGCAATGAAGGAAATTGCGAAGTCAAATTTGCTTTCCCCTGGTTTGTGGATGTTCACCTCGTTAAAAATATCATCAATGGATGATGTTGTCGAAATATTGGTGTCATGCTTATAAAGCATTATGTAAAATAAATAAACAACATAGGTGATAATAATGCTTCCAACAAATATTGAAGATACTCCTCCAATGTAGGTTCTGTATTTGTCATCTCCATCATACGTAAGAGAAATATTTTTACCATACATATCAATCGATTTGACTCTTGCTAATAACTTTCTAAATAATGATTTTTTGAAATTTGATCCTGTTGACATATTCAACAAACCCTTTAAAATTAATTATACTCAAACTCAATTATGAAAAATCCCATCGGGGTTTTGGGGTTTTGGGGTTTTGGGGTTTTGGGG